AGAGTTTGTTTGGGGGATCCTGGGGCTCTCGTGCAGTGCCCCTCTGGCCTCTGGAGTGGGATCCTTTCCTCTCTCCCAGGGAAGAGGGTTTGGGCAGCTGCGTGTGACCCTGGGAGCTGGTTCTGTCTCACAGGCTCCCTGAGTCCGACGGCCCCTGCCAGGCCAGCACGTGCAGCCGTCTTCCTTTCCGGAGGTTCCACTGTGACTGGCTCTGCAGTCAGTAGTTTCTGTGTCGATCCCCAGCCCGAAAGACGTCCGTCTGGTCTCGGCCTTTTCGGCCCGGGCCCCAACCCAGTGGAATGAGCTTCCACTAGAGATCAGGACCCTGCGGGACCCTTTACACTTCCGCAAGGCCTGTGAGACGGAGCTCTTCCGCCAGGCTTTTGGGTGAGGCAGTGGGCGTCAAATACCATCTGGCTCCTCCTGCTACCATCCTGTTACCTCTTTGTGACCACCTGTGCCATAGTCCTTAATCTTCAAGGACACAGATTGATATCCGCTTTGGTTTACCCTAGGTATGGTACTTACAATCTGCAATCTCTTATGGGGTCTACACCAGGGGTGTCGAACTCATTTGTTATGAGGGCCGGATCTGACATAAACGAGACCTTGTTGGGCCGGGCCACATGTGTCATAAGATGTAATGCCAGGTAGCGGAGATATAAACTTTGTAAAGGACACGAACACGAAGGGGGTTTTTTTACTTTAAAACATGCTCAAAACATTAGCACTCTTGCGATATTTTGTTTATTTAATAATTTCTGATAACTGACACCTCTTGCTCTGAATTACTGCATCAAAATGTCTGTGCTGTTGCAATCTTGAGTATGCTGCTCAGGTGTGTATCTGTAAGCTGCAAACCTACAATGATGCAACAGCAGAACTGGAAGAAGCAGAAGACAGCCAGTTCTACTGCTGGCCTGATAGAAGTCCTCCGGGGGCCTGATCTGGCCCCCGGGCTGCATGTTTGACACCCCTGGTCTACACCTTTCTGCCTTTAATTTTATAACACCAGGGCACCATTGTAATGCTCCCTCTAAGCCGTGGTGTCTTGTGAGCAAAAATTACTATTTTGTGAGCTCTTGGCAGTAAAGTTGTGAGCTAGCGATTGGGCTACGGCATAGATCAGTTTGCTCCGGAGCCCTCCCTCCTGAGCTAAGACAAAAATGTGTGAGCTGGAGGCTAAAAAACTGTGAGCTAGCTCACACTCACTCAGCTTAGAGGGAACCCTGGACTGGTGATGGAGTGATTGCCATCATTTAAGGGTTTCAGGGCTCTTTTTGTAGCAGGTACTCATTTGCATATTAAGCGACACACCCCTAATGTAGCCAATCCTCCAAGAGCTTACAGTAGCCCCTGTAAGAAGAGCTCTGTAAGCTCTTGGAGGATTGGCTACGTTAGGGGGTGTGGCCTAATATGCAAAGGAATTCCTGCTACAGAAAGAGCCCTTAAGCTTACAGTTTTAATTCTGTTTTTATTGTTTTATATTAAGTGTTGTAACCCGTCCTGAGCCCCCTTGCGGGAAGGGCGGGGTAAAAATAGAATCAAACCCAAGTCAATACATTTCAGTGCACGTTTTCCCCTTCCCCTTCTGCAGGTCAGATCCTCGGACCAGGCTCCATGATTCCCGGGCAACCCGTGCCCGGTGGCCGGATGATGCAGGCAGGAGCAGCCAACAGCGGCAGTGCTGGCGCCCCCCAGCCTGCCACAGCGCCAGCAGCAGGGAGTATTGCTGGACCTCGGGGGGCCCTGGCGTCGCCCAACGGCTTGTGTGAGTGGGCTTCCCGTGTTCTGGATGCCGCTGGGCCCACCTAGTCTTTGGGATGTGCAGCCTTCCTTCCTTCTGAGAGCCAGCGTGGTGTAGGGGAGAGAGTGTTGGGCCAGGACCCAGGGAGGCCTGGGTTCGAATCCCTGCTTCTACCACGGAAGCTCCCTTGGTGACCTTGGGCATGTCGCAGACTCCCACCCTGCCTCACGGGGTTGAGAGAAGACAGGAGAGGAGAAGGATGTGCTCTGCGCTTCTTTGAGTCGCAGCCGTGGAAAAAAGGGGGGAAATGAATCAATCAATGCAAATGAATGCAAACTTTGCCTCCCCAGTAGTCCCAAAATAATGCACTGCCCTTTCCTGCTCAGCGGGAGGCCTCCGTCTCCAAATCCCTGAGGTGCCTGAGCTTCCCGGTGGGGGATTCTCTGCTGTGGGCTTGCCTGTCATTTTATTTTGAAAGTCCCCTTTCTCCATCCTTCCGCAGAGGGCAGACGTTGCATCTGGGGTAGCATTGCCTAGTGGTCAGGCGTTCAGTCTTCTGTCCTTTCTGTAGAGCATTTCTACCCGAGCTTTCCACTAAAGGGCAGCAGTCCACTTCGTGAACCCAGGAAGCCCGTGAAACGCCCCCACGACAGCTGTGCCAGAGAGCAAGATCCTCAGGGGAACAGGCTTCCCTCGGGAGGAGGCGGTGGGCTCTCCTCCTTGGGAGGTTTTCAAACAGAGGCTAGAGGGCCATCTGTGACAGCAATGCGGATTCTGTGGACTGAGGCAGTTCACGAGGAAAAGGAGGGCAGGGAGGGCTGCCTCAGGGCTTAGTTCTCGTGGCCCTGTCTGACACGCCCGGGGAAATGCCAATCGCCACTTTGGGGGTCAGGAAGCAGTTTTTCTCCTGGCCACTTTGGCTGAAGATCCTGAAGGTTTTTTGGCCGCCTCTGGGCGTGGAAGAGGGGTCACTGGGGTGTGTGGAGGGGGAGGTATTTGTGAATGTCCGGCATTGTGCAGGGGTTGGACTAGACGACCCTGGAGGTCCCGTCCAACTCTATGATTCTGTGATCTCCTTACAGCCGGGCTCTGATTCCTCTGTGGACTCCAGAGCCCCTCTAGTTTTCCTAGCAAGGCTCCTGTGCTTTTCAGCTGTGTGTGACACGTGTCACGTCCCCCATGCTTTTCAACATCTACGTTAAGCCACTGGGAGAGGTCATTCAGAGATTTGAAATGAGTTGCCACCCGTAGGGCATGGAGCAGGGGTCCCTGGGTGTGTTTGGGGGGGGGTATTTGTGAATTCCCTGCATTGTGCAGGGGGTTGGACTAGATGACCCTGAAGGTCCCCTTCCAACTCTACGATTCTATGATCCTTCAGCAAAGCAGAGGAGGCCGGGTAGAACCATTTTTGCCTCCTGCACACAACAGATCTCTCTGGGGAGAGGGTATGCCAGAAACTGACACGGTCCCAGGTGTGAATTCTCCTGCCCAGATGTTGAGAAGAAGGGGAATTCGCCCTCAGTGTGTGTTTTTGTTTTTTTAAGTCTCCCTGTAACACGGGGGGGAGGGGGTTTGCTGCCAGGTGGGCTTGCCTGGGGCACTTCCAGCTGGTTCCTGAACGTCCTGCTGATTCCCTTTCTTTCTCTGCAGATCCACCGCCACCGCAGCCGCCGGCACCACCTCCAGCCGACGGGGTCACTCCGCCTCCTGCAGGAGCGCCACCGGCCTCCACAGCGCCCTGACGGGGTCCAGCGCCAAGGAACGGCTCCTGCTGTGCCAGTAGCAGCCCCCAAACCACCCTTTCCTCCCTTTCTCTCTCCTTCCTTCTGCGGCGCCAGTCCCCTGCCACCCGGCGGCACCACCTGTGGTCCAGGCGTGGCTTCCCAGCCAGGGACACAGACGCACGAGGCTTCCGCTGCGTCCCCGCGGTGCTTTGCCTTTTGGCCTCAGGACTCTCTCTCAACCACCAAGCCAAAGCGGCGGCTTTGCTGTGACACCCTCCCGGGCGGGCCACTGCAGCGTGCAAGAGGCAAAGCACCACAGTGCGGCAGCGGAGGGGAGAGGAGTGCTCCCCGCCCCCCGGCCTAACCATCCCGGTCCACCCTGCCCAGAGGCTCTGCAGGTGGGCCGTTACCCAGAACCCGTGCGGAGCTCTGGGCCCGCCTCGCAAGCCGAGCAAGGGGAAATGTCAACTGGCATCAGCCCTCTGCCGTGGCGCGAGTCGCTCCAGCCCCTGTCTTTTCAGTGGGGGGGGGAGGAAGTGGTCGATGCCACCCCCTCCCCGCCTGTTCCCTCTGCAAAGCCCAGCAACCAGCAAAAACGAATGTCCACTTCATTTTCTCTCCCTTTTTTTTTGGAGTGGGCATTATGTGTTCTTTTTTTAAAAAAAACGAGCACGCACGTAGACCCCTGTAGGCCGCTGGGGAGTGCCGGCATGCAAGGCTCTGTGGGAGCACTGGGGGGGGGG